GGATGCATTGACTAAAAAACAGCCACTAGAGGGGGATGTGACACAGTCAAACACATCAGACTGTTCCTGACTTCCTGCTCGTCTGCTGGGGTCCAAACACCGACCCGTGGACCAGAAAAGGCCCCCCAGCACAGTATCAGTTTCTATTTCCCTAGAACAGGGGTCGGCAACCCGCGGCTCCGGAGCCGCATGCGGCTCTTTAGTCTTTATTTTTATTTTGTGGTTTGGGAAAATAAATGTAAGTATTTAGCTGAAGTGTATTTTATTTTTTAACTTGTAGTTCTACATTGGAAGATTATTGTGATATTGACATAGAAAAATAAAATTATATTTTATTATTTTTTCATCGCTCAAAATAAGCGTCACACTCGTGGAAGTTGGTATACCCGCCGAAACGCCGTGCATTTATCGAGACTTTCAACCCCAGGTAGGCCAGTTATGGATCTTTGGATCCACATTATGTCAGCAGCTCCACCGTGAACTATGTTAAAACAAACACGCTCACGCCTCACAGACGACAGCTTACAGTCCTGTAAAGATGAAAGTGACTTCGTACAGCCTGATCTGCAGACGCTGTGTGCAGAGGTTCAGGAGCTGAAGTCTTATTGTAAACATATCACAGCAGACCCGACGATGTTTGCATGAACACGCTTTTCAGCATCTCTTTATTGACCACTTTTCACACACGGTTGCTGTACGCACACAGCCCGACACACACCAACACAATAGCAGAGAGAGCACGGACGTTAAGGCAGCGAGGCGTGATTGCGGGTGCCGCTCAGGTGCGTCTGCCTCCTCTGCAGCGGTGCTGCAGACCACGCCCCGCCACACACATTAACCAGGTAAAATACATATTTAGGCAGAATTTTGCAAATATCTATTTTTTAGCAGCATAGAGCTTTTTTCCAATTACTTTTTAAAAGTCAAGTCAAAGCTCCAAAAGCACAAAGGTGATATAACAGTTTGTGTTTGCTGGATCATTTTAGTTCAGCTTTCCTTTTGTTATGTTTCTTTAAGAGTTCAAAATGTGTTAATTACATAAATAAAATGTAATTTTCTCTGCAGCACTTCATGGATTTCATAAGCAACACAGCTTAGTTGTTCTGTGGATTCTTTTAAAAAGCAGTTAAAAACTTTTCAAACAAGCCTTTTGTTGATCTACGTATTTTATATTCTTTACATTATTTACATTTGATCTTTTACATTGTGTATAATGTTTATTGATTGTGTTGTTTATTTTAATATTTGTGTACAGCGCTTTGTGACTGCCTGTCTGTGAAAAGCGCTTAATAAATAAACTTTACTTACTTTAGTTGTTCACACAAAGCATAAAAGTAAAAAACAATATATACAGTGTTATTTAGATTTAGATTTTAGATGTAAAAAAGTATTTGCGGCTCTCAGTGTTTTCTTTTGCGTGGAAACCGGGTCCAAGTGGCTCTTTGGGTGTAAAAGGTTGCAGACCCCTGCTCTAGAATATGAAAGTCTTCTTTTCTCTCATGTCTGATGAGCATTATCTCAAGGTTTTAATGAAGTTTTATTACCAGGATGTTCACTCTTTGTTTTGTTCTGCTCGGTTTATTTCTCTTTAATGTTTGCTCAATTTTGGCTCATCTGTTTCCTGTGAGGATATTATTTCATATCATATTAAGTCATCCATGTTTCTTCAGTCAGGGCTTTTCACATC